ATATTTGTCATACAACAAGTGACACGTACCTCACGTGACTCACTACACAGAGGAAACATTGATGGAAGAGATTGTTTAAATTTGGTTACAGCATTTTCTGATAAGCACCTGCTGAGATGAAATTTACTCTCAGTGACTGTGTAGTCATTTAATATAAACTGAAAGTTATTAAAAAATGATGGGACAGAACAGGATTTTGAGGAACTGTTACCAAGTCCTTTATTTGTTGGTTTGTGTTCATGTTCCCAGTTACTGGGCTCCGGCTGCAGGTTTGTATGCAGATAACACCAGCCTGTGTTTGCTCTGACAACAGACAGGAAAGTTAGCACAACTCCAACATGTCGGCCTTCTTCTCAGCTTCACTGAAACTCAGCTTGACTTTTGATGCAGATTAGACGGAACAGAGCAGGCTGATGTTTGATGAGCGGCAGGTGAGTCACGGGTGGATATTCTCCAGGAAGACTTCTTTTCAAGTCACATCAAAGTTAGACTCTGGCTCAATCTGTGTTGTGTATCGCGGTGGAATGGTCAGTTTTTGTGTTTTCAGACTGCGACGGTAGAATCTCAAACACAAAACATTAGCGAAAGCAGGAAATAAACCTCACGCTCCAACGCGGCCGCTGTTGATGAAATAAAAACACACAAGATCAATGAGAAGCAAGATGGACGTTCTGTCTCATAGACACTGGTTCCAGAAACGCACAGCTGTTGTGAAATGGCTTTTAGTGGCTTCAGTTCCAACAACGAGACAAGAACACTTGGTCAAAGCAACGTATAATCTATGATATGGCTCCCTCGCTCCCCCGACCACTCATTGCACTCTCTTCCTCTGTCTTTAAGAAACTACACCACACTGATACATTTCATTCTGGCTACAGAGCGATTTGTCGTTCAGTCCGAACGCAGGTCTACCCTTTGAGAACCATTGCTTTAGGTCCTATAGCAATAAGAGTCACACGAGGAGAAAAACGACTACAATATCTACATTCTGATTTATAAACTGTACACATGTTATAAAGATTGTCGGAATAAGAACTTCTTAGCACAAATGTGAAAAAGTAAAAACCTTTTTGTTCACCACTCGCTCTCGTGCAAAACAGATGCCTTTCCTCCCTCTCCCGTCCTCCTGCTTTGTTGCTCTCTGTCTTGTGTATTGGAGCTCCTATTTACACATCTTCCAAAATGTAAACTACTGTCATGGATCTGGTCAGCTGGACTTTCGGTGCAATCGATCATTTTTTTTCAACAAAGCGACAGGGTCCTGGAGAACCCTCGTGCCCCGCTGAGATGCACGCAACAGGATGTGTCCTGGATCTGATGTGCCTTTCCGTATTGTCTCAGGAGGATGCTGAAGATACTGGAATGATAGCAGGGTTCCTGCTTTTAGGAACCAGCAGATACCTATGTCATTGGCTATCAAAGGAGACGGCAGCAGCAGTTACGGCCATGGCAAAGCTGCCGACCAGTCGGCAGATTTGGTTTGTGCTTCAAGCACTCAAAATCAGCTGTTTTAAGAGCTAAGCCGTAAGATGGAAGCGATTTGTGAGAATCGCAGGTCACTTACAACTTCCGGGACTTGCCAGCATGTTGAAGACGACCTTGGAGGGAGCTAATAAGCACGGACCAGTGGAATGCCCACAAATCTGGCCATTTTGGATTAAAAGTACCAGCAGAACTCAAGGCAGACGAGAAATAACAGTCTGCCTGAAAAAAATCAACAACTGTGGCTTTTCTGAATCTGACTCCCTGTTTGGCCTTGAAGCAGGCCCACTTATCGCATTTCTCCTGGGATACGAGTAAACTGAGAAAGCTGTCTAATGCTATCAGAACTGTACCGACTGACACCAACATCTTAACAGGACTATCTGGAAGTGCTTCGTGGACAAATCTTACCGTCTTGTTGTCAAATGCATAAGTAATGTGTCTATGAATGTGCTTGCTGGTAGAGTGTTTTGATGTCTTACATTGTGTCCTGATAAGGACAAGGTGCGAAGAGATCTTTTTTACTATCCTCTCCTCATGGCCTCCTGCATCCCCTTTCCCTATCTAAAAAGAATAAGGGGCTGCGCTCTCAGGAGCAGCACTCTGCCCATCGTTCAGATGACTGTACGCACATAATCTCACTGTATTTCAGTACAATGATAATAAAGCTTAATTTGATTCTGGTTCTGTTTATTACAAGAAATATAGCTCAAAACAATCGAATGCCTGCATCACAGTGTATATAGCCAAAGCTAATTTGTGACACTCGTCCCTAGATGGGCCTAAACTCTGCTTGTTGTCTCTGGAGTAAATTGAGCCATTTTTAAAAAATATTATCTATGCCATACAATGTAGGAAAAGTCACAGCGCACAAACTTTCTGTTTTGATATGATTTTTGTGAGTTGAGTAGTTCAGCAAAAATTGTGACAGAACCAGAAGAACAACAAGCGAATAGTGTTAAAGCTTGTCTAAAGATTCTTCCAAAACGATTGTAGCTCTTTTTGCCAGTGATCTTTTGTTTTATGCTTTGCTCTGATTGTCCACATGCAAACAGTTGAAACAGACCAAAACATGTCACTGTATGTTCGTGTACTCACAAGAGTGTCAGCATCTAGGAAGACGCATTTGCTGTACTGAGTCAGAGTCCAGCAGTGGATTTTAGTGTAGGTGGTACCCAGCTCAGGACGTCCCAGGAAGGACAGGTGGACCTGGTCTTTACTGTCCATCATGTCCACTGAGAAGACCTCATCAAACACATTCTCCAAGGCAAGTCTAAACAAAGAAGGATTTAAGAGGATCAGTGTTTTAGCATTACCTTAAAAACGTAAATTTTAGAGCACAACAGTAAAGATCATTGGTCAACGGTTCAGTGGGATGAAGGATTGGACACATGTTGGAACATGAAGCTTCTAAATGTTCCGTAAACTTGGTTCTCTGTGTAAAGAGACTGTTCCTCTACCTATTACATATTTCATATGTATGGAGCATGACCCCTGACTGGAAACACCCTACAGGTTCACCTATACATCATCTGTGCAGGCATGTAACCAAGGGTGGTTTGATGGAAACACCTCATAGAGCTGAGGCTCGCTCCACTCACAAATCCAAGGTTTCAATTTAACCAATCATTTTCGATCATCTCAAGACTACATCTTTACTTATTATGCACCGTATTTCAGATATGTGGGGTAGATCTCTGACACCCTGTGAAGAGAAAGTGCTGCCAACAAGTCTGATGGATGAAGCAGTTCACATATGTTACTTGACCTTAGAACACGAGTTCAAGTTCAAGAATCTTTATTATCCCCAAGTGGCAATTTGTTTTACAGTCAGTAGGCACACAAAACATCGATACTAGACAAGACAATGAAAGTCTTCTCTAGTCTCAATGCCAGACTAGAAAGTCCCAATGCCAGAAAAAAAAAATCCATACTTGAAAGACAGAAGTGCTGCCAGGACAGTCCAAAAGATATTACACGTATCCAAGAAAGGCAAAAGTAGGCCTTTCAGGTATTGATTCCAATATATCTATTAGACCAGCTGCTTAGATCAGCATGTAGTTCACCAAGCTGACCAAGAAATGGTCATCGATGGAGACCCAGCATCATGATATGCCACAACACAGTGAACTGTGCCCGATAAAACCCAAGAGTCAAACGATGCACATGTATGCTGACAGCTTACATGATCAGTGGCAACCGCCTGGTGTGATGATAAAGACCTGCCAATACTACCAAGCTGAAGCAGACAGATGCTGATCAATCAACTACAGGTGCAGCTCAAAAAAATGAGAATATTGTGAAGAATATTGTGAAAAGAATATTTTGAAGAAGTTCAAATGCCGTTCTAGAATTGCGCCGCTCCAGGTGGCTGCATGTTGGAGCAGCTCTGTTACTTCCATTCTGAGATTTTGCTTTTGGAAACATTAATTCCTCTTTTTCTGGATATAAATCACATTTTCTGGATGATTGTTTCCTCTGGTATCAGATGCTGTGCAGCTGGAAGGATTTTTACTGAAACTTTTTTCGTTTTGGACATTTGTTATGATGCGTAACCATGGCAACAAGGCTGTTTTCTACAAACAACAGCAGCTGATTAACATCTCAAAAGCTCAAATAATATCTCAACTACAGCCCCAAATCTCAAGTGAGTTGAAAAGGATGTTCTGTGGATGCATCCTCATCTACCTGCCAGCTGTGCTCGAGTGCCTGACCACTGAGATCCTGGAACTAGCAGGAAACACGGCTCATGACAGCAGAAGGACAGGATCGTCCCTCAGCACCTACAGTTGGCTGTCCACAGCAACGAGGAGCTCGGCAGACTGCTGGGAGGAGTGGCCATCGCTGTGGGAGGAGTTCTGTCCAGCATTCGGGCGGTCCTACAGCCCGGGGGAACTGAGAGGCCAGCCGAGTCTGTGTGGACGGATCGGACGGCATCTGCAGCCAATTTCTTAGGATCCACTGTGGGATGGACCTTTACAAGAGATCCTTCCTGCCTACAGACATCAGCATCTATAACATCTCTTAATGAAATGAGGATAACGAGTTACAGCAACAAATAATTTCCCTCTGGGATTAATAAAATATTTTTGAAATTGAATTGAATTTGAAATATTTTTGTCCGTCATTTCAGAAACTGAAACTCATTTATTACCCAGACATTACACAAAGAGTGAAATATTTCAAGACTTTTTTTCCCTCATAGTTTTGATTATTATGGCTTACAAATAATAAAAAATAATAATAATTAGGTGTCCTGAAAAGTTACATTACACAGCCAGCTGTTGGTATCTTTGGCAGCGTTGGCCGGTGCCGAGTCCTGCTGGAAGATGAAATCAGCGTCTCTATAAGGGAGGGGAAGTTTGAGATTGTCATCATTGTATGTTTCTGAACAATGGCAAAATTATTTCTTTGCATTTAACCCATCACGTGAGATACACGCAGGTGGAGCAATGGACAGCTATGTGAGTACTCAGGGAGCAGTTAGGGATTGGGTGTCTTGCTCAGGGACACCACGACATGTGGGCATGATGGGGAGACGAACCGCACTTTCTGGTCCCAAGTCGGCTGCTCTACCTTTACACCATCTTAGCCCCCACCAGGAAGGAATAACAAAGAGCTGTAAAATATCCTGGTAGATACTGAATTGACTGGACTTCAGAAAACCCAGTGGACCAAAACCAGCAGAGGATATGGACCCAACCATACTTAACTGTGGAAATTTCACTCTGGACTTAAACAGCGTGGATTCTGGACCTCTCCACTCATCCTCCAGACTCTGGGGTCTTGATTTATAAATCTTCCATGTGAAAAGAGGACACTGGACCACTGAGAGACAGTTCAGTTCTTTGTCTCCTCAGCAGACAAGATGCTTCTGATGTTGTCGCTGGTTCAGGAGTGGCCGGACTTGAGGAATGAGACATTTGTGGCTTATGTCCAGGGGTTCATCCATTGATCAGGCTGAGACACCAGGATTTTACAATGTTGAACCTCTTCACAATGTTTTAACTCTCTAAGACACTGAGTTTTGGTTTTTCATTATTTGTCATTCATAATCATCAAATTCACAATAAATAAAAGCTTGCGATATTCGCTCTGAGTGTAACAAATTTATTTAATATATATAAAGTTTCTTTGTTTCATTTTCTGAAATAACTGACAAAACAAAACTGAACTTTTGCATGATATTCTCGTTTTGTGAAATGCACCTGGCCAACGTGCAGCAGGTGTATCCTAGTAAAGGATTTCAAACAGATCCCTAAGTAGGAATACTGAAAACTGGAAGAGGACAACGTCCCACAGCAGTCTCCATACACTGAAAGAAGTTAGGATCTCGTATTCGCCTGGGAAATTATACAGCCAGCAGGGGCCAAATCTGAAGGGAAGAACTGCCCAGTGAGAGAGACTCTATTCAAGTCACAAAGAGGGAAGAGCATCCAGCTCTGTGAGGGCCAATTCATAGGGCATCGTGAAGCAGACACCCTTTGTCCAAAAGGTAACAGCAGACATCTTTGCACTCAGCTGTGGCTGTAAAAAGGAGATTTATGTCAGGTGGTAGAGGTCCTCATTGGGATCCCTGAACTTCAGAACAGGATAGAGTCCTCTACTGAGAAGAACCTGCACATTTGGTGGGTCCTGCCCAATTGAAACGTGCCTTATAATATTGATGCCCTACAGGAAAACAGCACACTCTAAGCATCGGCTGTTCAATTCAATTCAATTCAGTTTATTCACGTAGCACCAAGACACAACAGAAGTCATCTCAGGGCATTGAAAAGAAACATCCATATGTATAAAAATAAGTTAACATTATTTATCTGAGGAGCAGACTGCTTTGAATTCAACTCCATTGCAGAACTCTCATCTTGAGCAAGCATGAAGGTGACAGGGGGAAGGAAAAACTCCCTCGTGAGGAAGAAACCTTTAGCAGAACCAGGCTCAGGACAAGAGGACCATCTGCTTCGACCGGCTGGGTTTGGTAGGAACAGATACACAATGGCAGTTAAAATAGAAATAATATCAAATGAAAAATGTTCGATTTTAACCATTCATTTAAGGAAATGAGGTCAGTTTGTCCTCTAGTAGTCTAAGTCTATAGCAGAATAACAAGCCAACCCTAACTACATGATTTTTCAAAAAGGGGGATGTGATGATTGGATGTATTCTGCTTGTCCAGTAGGTGTCACTCACGAGTATACATGAATGTATAAATGTGAAAACAATAGAGTAAGAGTTTGATGAGATACTTAAGACACCTGTGACCTGAGTGAGCAGACCTGTGAGCAGAGATTTAATAAAAGTACCTGAGCAGTAATAGGGGACTGGTTCTTATCAAACACAAATATAACATGGTGTCAGGAGTAAACTGAGAAGCTGATCATGGATCTAAAACCACCTGAGAGCTTGAGGCTGACTGGAAACGTGGATGAAAACTGGCGTGCCTTCAAACAACGTTTTCAACTATATGTTGCTGCAATGGGCCTGGAGACAAAGCCGGAGCCAAGAAAGGTAGCCATGTTGCTGACCATAGCAGGACCACAAGCTTTGGAGGTCTACAACACATTTGTGTTTGATAATTCAGAAGACAGTGAGAAGTTGGATGTTGTGCTCAATAAGTTTGATGCTCACTGTTCACCCAAGAAGAATGAATGTTATGAGAGATATGTTTTTCGCTCTCGGATGCAGAACCAGCATGAACCCTTCGATAACTTTCTGACAGACTTGAAAGTGAAAGCCCAGTCATGCAACTTTGGCCTGCTGAAGGACTCGATGATCAGAGATCAAATCGTCTTTGGTGTAAGTGATGGGAAACTCAGAGAGAGGCTGCTGAGAGAAGTGGAACTGACTCTGGAAACTGCTATAAAGATGTGTCGGGCAAGTGAACTGTCTCTAAAGCAAGTGAGAACATTTTCGGAACTGTCAACAGGAACTACTTCGCAGTTCAGTGACGGAGCAACGACAGTAGGAGTGGTGTCCTGCCAGAGAAAACGGCATGCACAGAATGCACAAAGGCAGCTGCAGAGGATGGTGTCATCAACTGTAAGCGGTGTGGGTTACGACATAAACTGCGACAATGTCCTGCCTACGGTAAGCAGTGTTTAAATTGCTGTGGAAAGAACCACTTTGCAAAGCAGTGCTTTAATAAGAGGAAAGAAGAAAAGAAGCATTGTGTCAAGTTCAGCATCTGACCTGCTCGTTGAGAGGTGTGAAGGGAAACGCCGAAGTTTATGTATTTCTCCCGTTTGGTTACAGCAGGCAATGAGCAGTTTAGAA